CAATGGATGTTGGATTTTTCCAATCGATTCAATCCAATTCAATAGATGATTGGATGGGTTCGGTTCAATGTTCGGTTCATTAGATATTCTTATTGGATATTCATTGGATGAGATTGGATTCGTTCAATGTTAATTGGATCAGATCCATCCGACATCGTATGGATGATTAGATCAGATCCATCCAATGTTCTAAATCCAATTCACTTAATATTCCAGAATTCAAGGATTTCATATTATGAATCAATAATCATCATGTTTGAACTTGAAGAAGAAATAACAGAACATTGGGGATTAGGCTTGACCCAGTAATTCATATAGAAATGATGACATAAAGAAATATTGACTTGATCCAAGGATTAATCTTACTTCTTTAAAGGTTTTCTTCCTTGCCTTATCAAAATACTGCCGGAAACTTGAGATTTGGAAAATGTCTACATAATGTTTACATTTGAGTTTTAGAGATTTTCTCCATGTACTGAACAACAAGTAATGAGATAAAGTATACATTGAATAGCAAGTAATGAGATTTTCTCCATATTTGGAGATTGACACATTGAACATCAGGTAATAATAATGAGATTAGAAGTAAATCTAAGCACATTGCTTCCTAAGCTTGAAATAGAATCCGTGTTTGAGATTGAAAATCAGAGACGGTAAGTTGTGGTGGAGCTGTGGAGACCCAAAATCAGAAGAGCTTGTACTAAAATCGACTGGAAATCGAGACAAGTGGTGGAGACGACTGGAAACCGAGAGCTGCTACTGAAATCAACTAGAAATCAAGAGGAGTGGTGGAGATGACTTGAAATCGAGAGTTGCTACTGAAATCGAGAGGAGTTGTGGATTGGGTTGGGAATCAAAGTTGCTACCAAAATCGAAATTGATAGGAGTGGTGGTGGAGACGGCTGGATGAATAGAAGGAGATGAGTTTGGATTTTGAAAATTTTCACAGTTTGGTTTGGATTTGGGTGGGAGACGCAGGTGATTTTTTTATTTTTATTTTTTAAGAGGTGTTAGAAGTCTTAAAGTGTTATTTCAATTTTGATTAATAAGGGGTGACGTTGAAGCCTGAAATCAGAATCAACAAGACTGTTTGTTTTTATAAACTGATAGATGTCCGAATTTGTTTATTGTCTGTTTTACCTATTAAAAAATTATAGTGTAGAATTTATAGATAAATTTATACAGTTTCACATATTTATTCATCATTATTATGAAACTTACATCTAAATTATATAATTAACATTTATTTAAACGAAAATATATCATTAACGGCATTTAACACATTTAAATTATATTAAAATACATCAATTGAGAGAGGTCAAGATCGATTTGGTAAGGATCAATTGAGAGATCGACCAAGATTAATCGATTGAGAAATGTCGTTACTAAGGGTTTGGAGAACAATTAGATGCAAATAAGATGTTGGTTTACCTATTACCAGATAAGAGGTGAATAAAACATAATCTCTGAAAAATTACAAAAAACAAACAATCTAAATGACTCTACCTTCTAACGAATCAGATATAAAAAACTAATAAAAGCTTTAAAAAAACAGTCCAAATTAAACCCTAAACCAATTTACATTTGATTAATGTAAAATTGGAGGATTGTTTTTTACTTTTAAATTTTTAGTTTTAATTGGACTTTTTTTTTCAAGTTTTTTTTTTAGATTTTTTAGTTTTTACTTTTCATAGAATTATGATAAATTGGTTTTTAGAATTTAAAACTTTTTCTTTTCATTTTTTTTGAATTATAATGTAGTGGATATAATTAGATGAATTGTTGGATGATAATTGGATAGATGGTTGGATTAATTCTTGGATGATAATTGGATGGTAATCGGTTTGGTTTGGTAGGTTTTGGTCAGTTCTAGACTGTCATCCAATAACCAACCAATTCAAATTGGATTTTAAAATTTTTGATCCGATTTGATCCAATTACAATTGGGTATCCAATCATGGCCGGTATGTTGTAATTGGATCAATTGACTTTCTACACACTCGTAACGGTCGGTGATTCGTTGGTAATATAGTCGTCGGTGATCTGTCGGTAGTTGAGGCCGTCGGTAATTGAGTCTTTCGGTAATCCAACGGTAATTGTGTCCGTCAGAGATACAAATATATCGATAATCCATCGGAAATGGTCGTTGTCGGTAATCCGTCGGTGATTCCATTTCCCATGAACTTTCTACCAACAAACTTTCACCGACAGATTACCAACGTATCTGACTTTTAGCAATGGATTATTGACGGATTTTTCCGTCGATGAAAGTCCCTTATTTTGTAGTGTCTTCCGTAAACGACCCTAAGTTGTTAGAATTTTTTTTTATCCCAACTAAGTTTAGCCGGTTTTACATTTTTACTATACTCACTACAAAATAAATAGGCTTCACCAACGGAAAAATATGTTGGTAGTCCGCAAGAAAAGGCATCACTGGTTGATCTCATAGCCAGAAAAAAATGGTTGGTGATTGTGATTATTGACGGATTTTCAATCACCAAAGAAAAAAATCCGTCCGTGATGGTCAATATGTCGATGATCCGCTACAAATCCATTGGAAATTATATGTAGAAAAACCATCGGTCATATAGTGACTCCTTCAGTCTTGAAGCTTCATTTGGTTTTATAATCGTAGTTGATATGTTTTTTTTAAAGTAACGAAATGAAAAGTGGTGGTGGTTGCTTTTTATTCATTTGCCTTTGTTCGTTTAATATCTTAATGGACGAACAAAAACATTTTCTTAATGAATGAACGTGTACAAAAAATAATATGTATTTGTTTTCAGTTAAGTTAACCGAACAAACACGGACAAATCTCCATCCGTATTGGTTTACAACTTCGCCTAGGTTTGGTTTGGAGTTGATTGGTTAGGTTGAATATTGTTTAGAATCGTATTTAAAAATTGAAAGTAAAATCTAAAAGAAAAGAAAATCAAGTATAATAGATTAGTATTTAACCACCACAAATATTATTATCATCCAAATATAATGTTTCAAAATAAATATTATATTAAAAAGTTAGTATTGAATTCAACATATCCCAGATAAAAACCATGTAGAATTTGGATTTAGTTATTTACGTTCGGATTGGGTTGAATTGGATAACTCTAACTCCAACCTAACAATTGGCTCATAGATTTTGAAGTTGGTTTATAGTATTTTGTATATTTTTTGTAGTGGGTTCATCTTTATTATGATGTCTAAGGGGCCGTTTACCCAATTGCTTATCCGGTAAGCGCTTTCCGATAGGAGTTAACACTATGATTTATTTTGGTGCGTAAGATTTTAGTACATCAAAACATATCGAATGCAACAATCTACTGAGTAAACGCTTACCTGGGTAAGAGTCGTCATTCTCACTTACTGGATAAGATTCTCCATCATTCTCATCGCTCTTATCCAGTAAGATTCTTGACCCTTCTCATGTTCATTTGATGAGAAAATTTATCCGATAAGTACTTACAAAGTAAGTGTTTAGTAAACGACCCCTAACTCAACTATCAACAACCACCAATGGTATAAAAAGAGCATACACAAGAAATTACGCTATAAAAAGCAACTAAGACACTTAGAGATTTAATATAGTCCCTCTAACGATGTGATACTGTATATTCATGGGAAACGATTTTACTTGAGTATTCAATGGAGGAATACAAGTTAACTCACTCGATATAAAAGAGGTCAAAAGTGCCTGGTTGGTTTAAGCTTGGACTTCAAAGGTCAATAGTGTTTGGAGGTCCCAAATTCAAATCAAAGGAGGAATACAAATCCTCTTGTAGCCATGAAGGTTCAAATGCGGTGACTCAGGACTACCCGCAAAACAGGTGGTCGTCATGGGATTAGTCGACTCGCATAGTGGGTTGAATATCCAGGTTAATAAAAAAAAGCTTCTTGAAACTCAACTCTAGCTTGCTAAAAATGGAATGAAAAGATGATCAGATGAAGTTTAACCTAGTTGGAAAAATAAAACTCGTTTGAGAACATATGCGACTTCAATGGTACATGAGGTACCTTTTAAATTTTTTGGTTATTTAAATAACCGTCACGTTTTTGGAGTCATTTACTTAATGTTAACCGGTTAAACGTTTATCGTGTCATTACGATACTGGAAGGAGTATATCAATCACCAAGAACTTTATCCGGTAAGAGTCATTATGAGGATCAGGAATCTTAATTGATAAGAGGTATGCGAAAGACCGATAATCTTATCCGGTAAGTAAAGGTGGTTACTGAGTAAGAGTAAGAGAATCTCACCAACATCATACTACGTTCATCCTGATAGACAAAAGTCTTACCCAGTAAGACAAGTTTAATTTGAATAGAATTAGATCATGTTGAAGCAGTTTGAAATTGACAAATCAAAATAATGAAACTAAAAACTAAACAAGTTCAATTCAATCAGATCCCAAACTGAATCATAACCGAAATATGAAAAATGTAGACTTAAAAAGAATCAAAACCCTTTTCTGTTCAAGTTCAAAATTGAATTAGACCAAACCAAAAACCTACTTCCAAAAACACCTTATCATTTTATTTTGATCTTAAACTTATTTCCGTCTGGTACTTCAGTTTATCGACCCATAATCTTTAACCCTTTTTTTCACCAATTCCCACGTTATCGATCATCAATAACTGATACCAATTATAACCAATTGATATCGACCAAAATTACATCATTTTCGTTAGCGTTCATCTTTACGTAATAAATTATAAACAAATATTCCATAAGTAATAAAAATGTACCAAAAGTAGACACTATAAGACACACCGCACCACCGTCTGATTAGACGTGTGAAGGAACAAAATGACCGTGCCAACACCTTTTTCTGTAGCAAATTGGAAAAAAAAAAGTAAAAAGAAAAAGAAAAGGAATTTACTTTTCCGGAAAAAATAATGTAAAATAATTTACTTTTTATGATTATTTTTAATAAATTATTAAAGGTCCGAGACCAAGAAATGGGTGGAATCTTGGATAAAAAGGCACACTCTACTCCTGCTGCTCCTCCCACTCTCCCTTGTTTCTAGAGAGAGAAACGCACTCTTTGTAGAGAGAGAAACAGCTGAAAATGGCGTCAAGTTCATCAACAACCATTTTGTTTTCACTATTCTGCCTTCTCCTTGCTCGTTTCGTAGCTGTTTTTGCTGCAGAAGATGGTACGAACTCTTCCTCCTCTTTAATTTCTCTGTTTTTTGTATCGATTTTCAGTTGCTGTTGTTTACCGCATTCGAGATCTGTTTTTGTTTTCAATTTCCTGTTCTGAGTGTTTTCATTCACGATTTTCGAGATCTGGTTACGTATTGTTTGGCGTAAATGGAGTAGAATCGAGAAATTTGCGTTTGGTAATTTGAGATCAAAATGAAAGAGAATGTGTGTTGTTGATTTCATACACCGACCTGTGTGTCCTTGTAATGTAGAGTAGTTTTGTCAGTAATTGCAATTTGCAAATCTCCCGAAAATCCGGTAATTCTGCACTTTCTGATGTACTACACTGTACAAGTCATAATGCACCTAAAACCTCCCTTGGTTCACAATACTTTGGATTTCGAAGGAATACTCATTTTTTGCAGTTCACTTTTTGCATTATGTGTACACATTTTGATGTTCGCATAAAATTTGTACAACAATAGCTCAAAATCCATATATTTATGGCTGTATATATCACTTTCCGTGCAAGTGTACGAGTACATTGATAGAAACATATAAACAGCCGCAACAAAATCATGCAACAACCACCCACATTGCAATATTGAATGATTTCTTTTATGGACGCCACAATGTTTAATAACAAAAACCTGGCTTATTTTTTGAATTTATTAAAAAAATTTGTTTGATATGTTATAAAGTATCCTATATATGAGCCTCTCCATGGTAAAAATAAAGAGTTGAAGAAAAGGTTGAGAACACTTAATGAAAAGATTAACGATTAGAGTAATGACTTGAAGAATGACTTTGACATCAAAAACCTTGTAGGATGTCATGTGTTAGAAGATTTATATATGTGTGTTAAGAATAAATTAATAATACAAAAAAGAACTTTTGAAAAACTTGACCATTGAAGTAAATATTTGAAGATATTTTTTGTTTAACGAAATCTAATGTGTCAAATAGATCAAGTATTTTAAAAACTTGACCATTGCGGATAAACTAGTTTTGAAAAAGTACTTCCAATAGCTCATTAGGTTTTTACTTTTAATTTTTCCAATTATGCATCTTATATTGTATATAAATGTTTTTTATATTTTCCTTTTATTGTTACTTAGTTTATCATATAAGGAGAAACTTATTAATCCGTAACTAGCTTTTAGCTATTGACATGATTACTAGCCAATAACTAGTTTGCAAAATGTAACGTAATTTGATATTCTATTTGTTATATAATTTTGACAAGAATTATCTTACTACTAAATAAATACCTACTTTTGAGTCGAAGTTTGTATTTGCATTTAAGTACCTTGTAGATCGACATCTAAACAACTTGCATCGAATTTTTGTACGGTTAATAAGAACACTTGATAATAAGTCATTAGCATCAATAACTACTTTTTTATGTGCTTATTTGCCATGACCCATTCAGTGATTCAGACCTCTTGTTTCCAATCCTATCCGTTCCATTGTCGGCTCTAGATCTTATTACATACGTACAAAAAAGGGTGCATTAATGTAGTTGAAGTTATCTCATGATTATTATGACATGATAATAAATTGGAATTTATTTGTTGGCTTTTATACCAATAAATTGATTTTCCCCCATTTTGGAATTTCTTCACAAACGACATTTATTACTGAAAAGACCCATCACCTATAAAATATCATCATTTTAGCAAGTTTCAGTTTGCATCTCCTTCGCATCATACTCTCTCTTTCTTCACTTCTTTTTTCCGAACTTTACCAAAGTACATGTTCTTTTCTGGACTAGCCTCATTCAATTACGATAGCAGTTCCATTTAAGATTTTAGACAAAACTTTAAAGAAAACGAAACTCGAACTGGGTTCTTGTAGTGTGTTATTTGCACTTGTCTCGAAAGCGCTTAGCAACTCACATTACCTTGTGCCAATGGCCAAGAACTTTCTTATCCGGTAGGAGCGATGCAAGGACCGAGAGTCTCATGCGATAAGAGAGAGCGACGACTCTTACCATGGTTAGCATTTACCGGGTAAATTATTGTATACGATGCCGTTTTTGTTGACTAAAATCTTACTCGTTAAGTAATTGATAGTGTTGAATTTTACCTGTAAACGTTTATCCGGTAAGTGTTTGATAAACGACCCCTTAAATAAACAAATTACTTAAAAGTAATTAAACCCAACATATAAGACATATTAACTTTATAATATTACCCTACAATAACTCAAAAGTGAGAAAATTTGGTTACATCAAATTATTGGTTTTTCTGTATTGTAGTGTTTTGTCGCGAAAATATGTAGGCCCATTTGGCATCTTTGACCAAAAGTTACTTGAAATATAAAAATTAATTTATAGTTAGAAGAAAATTTTCTATCATAAAGGAAACTTGTTGTTTTATGCAACTAGTTTCTAATTAGATGACATTATTTTATATCTAATTAAAGTATGTCTGTTTTGAACCGTTTTTCTCTAATGTTTCCCCATTTTTCACATGATGTAGGCTTATTAATGAATGGTGACTTTGAAACACCGCCATCTGGAGGCTTTGCTGATGGCGGACTCGGTGACGGCCCTGCTGCCATCCCGAGCTGGAAGTTGAATGGCACGGTGGAGCTAGTAGCCTCAGGGCAAAAACAAGGCGGGATGATCCTCATCGTACCAGAAGGTAGACATGCGGTGAGGCTTGGCAACGATGCTCAGATAACCCAAGAGGTTAAGTTAGAAAAGGGCGAGATCTACTCGATCACGTTTAGTGCTTCTCGCACGTGCGCACAACTAGAGTCGTTGAATGTCTCTGTTCCACCAGCATCACAGACCATTGATCTACAAACGTTGTACAGTGTCCAAGGGTGGGATACTTACGCATGGGCGTTTCAAGCAGACCAAGAAGACGCAAATGTTGTTTTTACGAATCCCGGCATGGAAGATGACCCCACGTGTGGACCCATAATCGATGACATAGCCATTAAAAAGCTTTTCGTGCCAACCAAGCAAAAAGGTTCGATTTACTCCAAACTAGCGTTAGCCAAGTTGTCTTTCACAAAAACAACCACTCTCTACTTTAGATAGATTACGGGGTTGGATCCAACGTGGTGTAATTGACCCTGGTTACTCTTTTAAATCAAAATTTATCTTCGAAAACTGTTTACTTGCAGCCTTTTACAGCTCCCAGTCCCACTAGAAATGTGATCAATTTTATACTCCACATCCCTTTTACCTTTCAAATTTTTTTCCCCACTTGCCTATAAATCGTTTCTAAAAAGATGAAAACTCGTAGACAACAATTGTAGAATGTAAGTTGTTCGTAAATATTATATTTTCTTATTTAACTTTTATTTTATATTACATTCTGTTAATTAAAGTCCGACCTTAGACACCAAAATTCTTGGATACACCACGCCATACATTCCACCCCATCCCCATCTTGGTGTGGAATATGCTGGGATTGTTTGGTTTTGTTTAAGTGTAATTCTGCTATATCGAATTTACATTGATATCATCAATTTGTTCATTGTTATTATTACAGGTAACGCAGTACTGAACGGAGACTTCGAAGAAGGCCCGTGGATGTTTAGAAACGCGTCTCTAGGAGTCCTCCTCCCAACCAACCTCGACGAAGAAACCTCGTCATTGCCCGGGTGGATTGTCGAGTCCAATCGGGCAGTGCGTTACATCGACTCCTACCACTTCTCCGTTCCGGGAGGAAAACGTGCCCTTGAGTTGCTTTCAGGTAAAGAAGGCATAATCTCGCAAATGGTTCCAACCACTCCGAACAAACCGTACAGAATGACCTTCTCGCTGGGCCATGCTGGGGACTCGTGCAAACAGCCGCTAGCAGTCATGGCCTTTGCAGGGGACCAAGCCGAAAACATACACTATACACCCAACGCCAATTCCACGTTCCAAACCGCGGACGTGAATTTCACGGCTAAGGCTGAGAGGACACGTTTAGCATTCTATAGTGTGTATTATAACACTCGGAGCGATGATATGAGCTCGTTGTGTGGGCCCGTGGTGGATGATGTGCAGGTGGTTGTTTCTGAGGGCATTAGACGTTTAAGGTGGTCGGTTTGGAGTTTGGGATTTTGGGTTTTGATTATGTTGCTTATGGTTTAATCGAAATGGCCAAGTAAGTTGTTATGGTTCTTTTCCCGAATTCTATGTTATGATTCGGTAGTCAGAAAGCTTTTGGTAGTTCTACTTAGCACCTTGTTCGCTGAACCAGTTGCGTTTTGTACGTATGAACAAGAGTCCGAATGAATTGTGGATTATCAATATGAAAAAAAAAAAAAAAAACTAGAACGAAATTATTGTATTTGGAAGGACAAAATGCATTAAAACACGACAAATTCTGTTTTAGTTTTTATTTTTTTCTCTAACAAAGCTTCAAAATTTTGAATTTTATACCTGGCTTGATCGACTGATTGTTAACAACAGTTTTTAAGTTACATTGATTGAAAACAGATATAATCTTAGATCAATGGTTATTGGTAAAAACAATATATTAATTGATAATTTAAAATCCAAATGTTACAAAAACAACAGTTTAATGGTCAAAATAGGTATAAAATAGAGAATTCAAAAAGAGTCCTCGAGTTAAACGACCATTTATTTAAGGGTTAAATGCATGAAATAGCAACCTAATTTCATAAAATTTCTTATTATAGTATTTTACTTTTGTTTTTCTTTATTACAGCAATGTACTTTCAAATTATTTTTTATTAAGACATTGTAGTTTAAAAAATATACCTATAATAGCAATGGGTAACCTGTTACCTTTTAAACCGGTTAACCCTTTAGCTTTTTTGTTTGTGTGACTTTAATGAGGTGATGTGGATGCCACATCATTTTGATGACTTAACTAAAATTAAAATAAAAACTTATGTCAAATTATTATTAGTGATTTTTATTTTTCATTGCTATGATCTAAAAAACATTTATTTTTTTT